GCTCTGTTGATACTTAATTAAGGAAGAGACCAATGTTGTGAGGTCAAGTGCTGGAGAGACATGCCCACAGGTTGAGAAAAAGATGTTGTTTTGAGTGAAGAATTTGTCCTACATTATTCAACTTCATAATCATGAGAATAATGAGTTTTTTGTAACACTGCAATGAAGCAGTGAACCCAGCAAAGAACTGAGAGACACAGTTTGGTGTTAAGAGTTGGTAGAAAAAAAGAAAAGAAAAAAAAAGAGTTGGTAGAAAAGGTTTGAGGATTTTGGTGCTTGACCTCATAGGTCAGCTGCAACCAACTCCTAACACCGTTGTTTGTTTTTTTTTAAATTTTTTGTTTATTTTATGTGTGTACCATCAAATCGGATCTGACTGGTACAGGAGGCAATTGTTCCTCCTTCTTCAGCAAAGCATCTGGTGGATTTGAACTGTGCACCTCTGGGATTGCAGTGCAGTTTCCTGCCACTAGGCCACCAGAGCTCACCCCAACACCATTTTTTATAAACCCTTACCACTGTAATTCTGTAAGTTATTATCCAGGTGTGAAAGGAGCTCACTGAAGATATCACTGCCAGATTACTATTGCTTTCATTGAAGATATGTCCAGGGCTCTCAGAAAGTGAGCTAGTGGCAAATGGGAGAAGGTACTCGTCTGCTGTTCCTACTGATACCGGCTGTTTAATGTGAGACACTTTAACCTTCTGAAACGTTTTTAAAATAGGAACCCTTTTAGATATGCCTGCTGATTGTCAAGCCTTCACATAAACAAGTAACCCAATGATACACCTTTACAGCACTGTTTTATTAGAAAAAGTTTACTTTAAAAAAAATAAACAAACCACAAACCCTTGAGACAAAAATTAGTAGCATCAAACAAAAAATTAGTAGCATCAAGCATTTTTCTTTTGAAAGAAAGGAACACTTTTTCCAAGTGCCTAAAATACTGATCATGTTCCTTTTATGTGTTGGATTCTGTCCTAGTGTTGAGTCAATTAAAGCTAAACATCCCTCATCTCATGAATCTTCCTAGTCTGGTGGTGCCAATGACATAGTGATAACATTATGATCTGTTTCTAGGCAAACTGGTAGCACTATGATGGATGGAGAAGAGACTGAGGTTGCTAACAGTTATGGCTTGCTTGGCTCCACAATCAACACTCTTGGCACCAGGAGTCAGGAAATCAAAAGGTGAATTGCACTGGGAAAAATCTGCTGTTAAGAACCTCTCCAGAGTACTGAAAAGCAATAATAGCAGTCTAGAGACTAAAGTGCGCCTGATCTAGTCTTTGCAATTACTTGCTATGTATCAGAAAGCTGGATATGACTAAGGGTGGAATTATTGATGCCTTTGAGTTGTTGTGCTGGAGAAGAGTCTTGAACATACCATGGACCACTCTGGGGGGCAAGTGGCCAGAAGGGCCAGATCCTTGGAGAAGGACATCATGCTCAGAAAGGTGGAAGGACAGCGCACAAGAGGAAGACCCCAGATGAGATAGACTGATACAGTAACTAGGGCAAAGGGGGTAGGTGTATCAGAATCAGTGAGACAGGCTCAGGACAGGGCAGGCTTCAGAGCTATTGTACATAGGGTCACTGAGTCACAAAACGACTTGACGGCACATAACATCATCTTTAAGACAAAACATCTCAAAGCAGACTTTCTCACCATTTACCCCAGGATTTGGCAAAGTGCCTGGGTAACACCTAAATAAAGTAATAAAGTAGTACCTGTGGCTGAAACAGAGTTAACTTCAGCATGGCCATTATCTGTATATTCAAAGGCACCTGGGATTGACCAGAACCCTGGAACTTGTCAGAGTTTCTGTGGTCACTCAGACGTAAACCCCTTCTTCCTACCATTTGTTCAGATCTTTGTTCCAGGAGGGCAATTTCTTAAATGACTCACATATGAGTCAGAATATGCATTCAAGTGTCTCCATTAGTGCTCGTTCTCAAATGAGGATCATGAAATGACCTAGAATAAATAAAATGTCCTTGGATGAATGGGCTTTTCACTTATTATCTCCAGAATCAAGTTCTTAGTATCTCAGAGGAAGCAACTTGCTTATTTTTCCTATATATTAAAATAAACTCTAAGATTCCATCCACAGAAAGTGGGATTAATACTCCCAGTTTATAATGTGCTTGAGTTAAAAAGGACCACACCTCCAACTGTGTTTTTTTTTTACTTTCTTTCTTAAATTTCCAATAGTATTCAGAAGCACATATTACTAACGAACGACTGTCAACATAAACCAAACAGGCTTGTTTAGGGAAGGGACACCAGTACAGACCTATATCCACCACCACATCATACACTGTTGATCATCTGTAGTTGTATAAATCACACTCCATCCAAGTGGCTTTGAGGGAGAGGGATGACATATTTTAATCATTATTACACCCTTAGAATTTAGGATGGTCTGTTTACAAAAACCAAATTTTTCTATGCAGCTTAGTCTTACTAAAAGACCTTCTTCCCAATAGCTTGATTACCATGGTTTGATTGAGAACTATATACAGAATTAACCAATTAAATTTTGGTAGTTGTTCAACAAGGTATACCTAGAGAACAAAAAACCCCAACAACCCATTTTATTCAATCTAATCCAGTCAGTACTGACAGACGGTTAAAAAAAAATTACAGCACAGGTAGCAAGGCAGTGACTAATTAAGTCACTAAGTTTAATTTTATATTCTTGTCACAGTCATTTGATAATCATGTAATGATGAACAATATTTTCAGCCACTTTGAATGGAGTTCTGCAAATAAAAGAATTCTACTAGTTGCCATTGAATTCTGTAAAAGGTTTAAAACATTAAAGTTTCCAGAAAAAACACAGAAGAGCAACATGAAAATAAACTAGAAAACACACAACATCCCCTCACCTCTAAATATACATCATCCTTTTAACTTGTTCTCTAAGATCTTGCATTACATGTTCATTCCCTTAAGAGTGGGAACATGTTTTAAAAGACTCTTCCGCAATTAAGGGATAACAATGCTTTCTAGGGGCTATTTTGAACCTCAAATACCTCTGCTTTAATCTCAGTTAATCCTGGAAACAGTGTTTTATTATTTGCATTGCTGAGATGAATAAAATTGTAGCTGATAGAAAAGTCTTTTGGGCAAGACATAAAATTATTAGAGCAGAGCTAGGATTTGAACTGTTCAACTTTGTTGCTTACTGGTGACAAAGACCAACTTCCTGGATAGCCTGGCACATGGTTTCTTGCCCTCAGGCTCTTGAGATTTAAGTCAATTCCAGGATTAGGGGCCGCTCTGGTCTTCAGGCACTTAGAATTCCCTCCCCAAAGCCCTAGAAAACCCCCCAAAGGATCGGCGTTGTTCCAGCAACCTTCATGAGCCTTGATGCTAACAAATCCAAGCAGCTACTCCCCCACCTTGGGTATTAAAAGTAGTAAAAGGGGGGCTGGGTGCTTGTGTTAACTTCAGTAAAAACTGCCTCAAATCTGCTGTATGTAACAAAACTGTGCAGCATATTCCTATTTAATACGTCTTTTCATATTGAAAATGAAAAGTGAATATATTTTACGAGTTACATAATCTAAGTTATTTTTATATACCATCATAGAATTTTATTTCCCCTTTAAAATGATAGTAGTGTTATAAGGCTCACTCAAATCTTCTTTTCCTCTCCAAATAACTGCAACTTTGAATGTTCAACAGCAATTCACAATAACTCTTTAAGACTCGAAATTAAGATATTCATACTATAGCACAGTCCTGGTTTTTAATTACTAAAATTAACACACAATACTGCAATCTAACATAGCTCAATCTCTATTTCCTATACTTTTTGAGAGGTGGCCACTTATCAGTAAAGGGCAACATTACGGTCATGCATTAGATACTGTGAAAAAGAAAATATGAGTTTTTTAAACTACCTTTTACATTTTTAATTTAAAAAAAACACACTGCAATTTCATCCAGATTGATGAGTGTTAAAATTGCTACTTCACTGAAATGGCTTAAAAGAAATACTAGCTTTTTTTTTTTAAATCATTTGGACTAACATGTGCTGATCAGATAGAAAGCCACCTCAGCAATGTGCTGTAATAGGTCACAGACAGGCCTAAATACTTGCTTTTGAAAAAAGACAAAACTAGATAGTAATTAATTTGCTAGCCTCATCAATAACAAGCAATTAAAATCCAGAAACGTTAGTATTGATTTTCTCTGATAAATTAAGCCAAAACAATGACCTCAATATTTTTTAAATAATTTTTTAAATTGATTTTCATACTATATTTGACCTCAATATTTTTATTCAAGACTTTTCTTAAAAATTCTCTCTTCACTAACTAGTATAAAAACAAAGAACAAGGCCTCACTGTGGTTCACGCCCTACTGGTTTTCCACTTCATCTAACTGGACAGTAAAAGCAGGGCCAGGTCTGTCTTGTTCACCACTGTTTCCCACAGCACTTAGGCTCAGTGCTTGGGGACATCGGAAGTGCTCAGCAAGTATCTGAAAAACTGAATCAATGAAAGAGAATAAAATAACTTTATTGAATTTTTGCAAATCTGTCCCTGTGCTCAAGCGTCTAGAAATATGGACTGAAAATACTGGGAGGACCTAATGACTGACTTACACACATACATTGTAATTAAGACTGCATAGGTCAAAACATACCTATGAGGTGGTAACATTATATAAATAAAGTTCTAAAGTGAAAACTGATCCATCTGGAAGCCCTGTGAATATTTATCCTACACATTTTGAAGGACATCACATAGGTTAAGAATAACATAACAAAATTTCATTGTTCAGTTCATTTGAATGTTACATACATTTTCGGATTATTCTTTATAGCTTACTTAATTTGCATTTCCCCATATTAATTAATATATGTTCTTATTGAGCAGGTAATCAAATTATGCCATTGAGAACAATTCTCATGGTACCTTCATCGAGATGCTGATTCTAAAAAAACACTGAACGTGAACATGTACAAAAGAGGCATTCTGAGTAAAACAATGTGTGTGCATTTTTAAATATTTGCACAGTCTGATCTTTATATCTCTGGAGAAAATATGACTAAATCCCAGGATTACCATGCTAAAATAATGGTTCAGATGACTGCCATAAAAGTACATAAGAAACAATGAAAACAAATCACATCCTTAGGTTCCGTGATTACTGAGGATCTCCCCTGCCCTACGTGCTTTATTGTATTTCTTAAAAACATAGGAGCGGCAGCTTATCACAAGTCTCCACTACTGTGCGTTAATGATGGAATCAGAATAACACAACAGACTCATGGATGAGAGGATTGCAGGACAACTAGAAGTCATTTTTATGCTTCTTCTTGTTCTGGATAATTTAGAATTTTGCGGTGTGCCTGACGTAAATATTGCTGCTGTTTGAAGTAAACCTTAAATGCTCCTTTTATGGCAACAAAAGCAATTCCGCCCTAGAAGAAAAAAATAAAAAGCTTTTAAAAATACAGCTTTAGAGTAACATTTAACTGATTGTAAAAGATGTCTGTTTTAACATACAAAATTAACTGGAAAGAAATCCAGTTCCCTTTTCTTCTTGAGAATGACAGGGGGTAACAAACAATGATCAAAGAAGCCTTCCTTCCTCTCCAAGCTTAGCAACTATTTTTCCAGTTTGCTCTGCATTTGTTGTTCCTCTACTTATTTTGATTGTGTAATGAAACATTTGCCATGTCAACATTATTCACAAATGTCTACATTTATTCTATCTAAAAGAAAGCAAGCTAGGATATTTTGTGTAAGTTTCCAGCAAGGAGGGGAAATAGAAATAATGATAACTACAATCCCAGAGGTGCACGGTTCGAATCCACCAGATGCTCTGCCGGGGAAGGAGGGGCAATCTCCTCCAGTACCAGTCAGATCTGATTTGACGGTACACACACAAAAAATAATAAAATAAAATAAAAAAAATATTAAAAAATATGATAAATAACATGTGTGCTAACTAGTTATGTGCCACTGGCCTAGTCTGAAAGGAGTTGTGTTGCTTACCCAAAAGCTGTGCCTCTGGTGATTCAAAAGCACCAGCAGCTCTGAGAGAGAAAGACAGGCACTCTCATTCCCATTTAATGTACAGTCTCAGGAATGCTAATGGAAGGGCAGCTATGAGTGTTTAAATTACACCATAATGAGTTAATGAGTCATGAGCCAATATTTCAAATGAATTATTAACTCATTTAATCTGCACATCAACCTGGGTTAAGTATTATTATCACCTCCATCCTGTGGGCACAGAGAAATAAAGCTGCTTTCAGTTTCACAGCAAGGCAATGCTTGAGGCAGGCAGCCTGATTATAGAACAGGAGTAATTCACCCACGATTGTGCTGACAAGAGGAATGAATATGATGACTTATGCACATTCCAGGGAATGCAGAAGTTACTCAGAGAGTAACTGTGGCAGTAGCTCTTTTCCTCTCTGTTCCCACTCAAGCTACTGGATGGCAGTGGAGATCAAACTGAGGCATAAGGCCTAACAGTCACAGATGGAATATTTCTACAGCTACATTTAAAAAAAAATCCCACCCAGATTCAGCTCATTGTCTTTTGTATCGTTATAGGTGAAAAGTAATACTGAAACCATCTTACCAAGATTGTCCTTTGTAAATTAGAGTTGACACTGCTGAACATAAGTTTACCAACTATTGTTGCAATAGTAGGAAAGACAAGGGCTCCACACAAAATTCGCGTTGCAGAGACGTGGTCTGCTAAAGGATTCGCCTCAGCTGGAATTCGAGGAACAGGACAGCCAATTCCTACAGAAAACAAAAATGCAATCATTAGTATTTTTGTATTTTAGAAAAAAATGTATTAGTGCTCATTAAAAGAGAACAGCTTGGTGCAACCATTGTGGAAGGCGGTGTGGCGGTTTCTCAAAAAATTGCAAATAGAGATA